TATCAAAGTGAGAATTTTCAATACCAACATCAAGGCAATTCTACTGTATGAAGCTGAAACTTGGAAAACTACAACAACCACCATCAAGAAGGTACAAGTATTTATAAATAGCTGTCTACGCAAGATACTCAACATCCATTGGCCGGATACCATCAGCAACAGCCTTCTGTGGTAGAGAACAAACCAACTTCCAGCTGAAGAGGAAATTAGGAAAAGACGATGGAAATGGATAGGACATACATTACGCAAATCGTCAAACTGCATCACGAGGCAAGCCCTAACTTGGAATCCTGAAGGGAAGCGAAAAAGAGGAAGGCCAAAGAACACATTGCGTCGAATAACAGAAGCAGATATGAAAACGATGAATTACAACAGGACGGAGCTAGAAAGGACTGCCCAGGACAGGGTTGGATGGAGAATGCTGGTGAGCGGCCTATGCTCCTTCACGAGGAGTAACAGGCGTAAGTAAGTAAGTAAGTGTGGTTTTGCCTCAGCTTACTATTCGGTTTGTTTTTGTTTTTCACTTAAAGACTAATTCAGTTTATCTCACTCGTTTTTAGCCATTTTTGTCCGTTTTCAGTGTGCTTTTTAGTGTATTTTTACGGTCTTAGGCTTTTGCAAGCATCTCTAACATAGTTTGCTTCATGAAAAACTCATGCAAACGTCCGGGATGCCATTTTGCTGTTACAACGGGAGTGCAGTGCAAAGGTTGATTCCACGAAGCGTGCACAGATCTGACGGTAACTGCTTACAATAGACTCAGCGAAACGGACCAAAAGTGGGTATGTGTCACGTACAGCACGGACGTTGTAGTCTTGCTGAGTAACATAATCGTCCTACTGACAGGTCTGCGGAACAAGTTGTCAGCAAACTTGGATAACGACAGTAAAAAAACGGGTAAACAAACAAGAGCGGGCAATGAACACAAGATTATGGATGTCGACAGGTATACAATCGATGGAGCATCCATTAGCACTAATGATGACGTGTTGAAGTTCAGCACCATCATTACGTCGACGGTATTAGACTCCCTAAGTAAACTCGGGTCTCCCAGCTCAGGGTCCCTGAACGTATCAGTGGTTCCCAAAAACCCTGTAGGTGATTCGACCCACGTTAGCAGAGCCCAAAAGAACCAGGTGTCACCGCCTAAGCTGAGCATCCCAAGTGTTGTTGTACGGAAAACAACTGTTGATCTGGTCGCACAGTCTACCCCCAAGAATGTTCATCCGGTCATCAAAGAGCCCAAGATTCAAAAACGTGCCTTGACCTCCGAACAACAAGGTATTAAACCTGAACCCATCGGGAAACCTGGTAAATCAACAACAGTTCATGACGATTGTCTCATAATCATGAATCTCATTGACAATCCTGACCTTCCTCTCAGTCTGCAGGACGAAAATGATAGGATGCTCTGGGGTGAACTGAACAAAAAGCTCGAACTTCCTAGTATAGAACCTTTGACGGTCACTCGGCTCACTCGAGGAAAGGATTCTGAGGATCTAAATCACCCGAGGCTTCTTCGAGTAACACTTAAGAATGCTACCGACGTAGAGGACGTCTTGCTAGCTAGTCAATTGCTGAAATCCGATGGAAACATTAGAATATTGCCCGACATACCGTAGTCTGAGAGCAATATCATACGGAACACCCCTGAAGAATCTCGCGAGAAGTTTACCCGCGGAAGAAACATAATTGTGCAAGGTATACCGGAAGATACGGAACCTACTCAACCAAACTCTGACATCAGGGAACGGAAATTCATCAAACAGTCCTTGAGGCTCAAACACCTAGTAACTCAGCATATGACGAGTCTAGCCAAGTAGGATGGTGATCCTAGACCCCGTCTAATGAAGATGATCTTCCCATCCTCCCACATGGCGGCTGCAACTCTGGAGACCTTTCGTGCAAACAGACGTCGATTGCCACCTGGAATCCACATGCACCCAGATAGGCCATACGAAGCTAGGACCAAATACAAAGGCAAGATGGAGCTGACCATTCCACTTGTGGACTGTTTAGATGACAAAAAAAACGTGTAAAGGACAGGGCCTACCACCTCGGCAAACCACATATACGTGGGCTACCTGTCCATTCACGTAAGGTTCATACAGACAAACAGGAAGAAGTTCACGCGTTTCAAATTGAAAGCATAAACTGCTTATACATGGACGCCGTGAGTCTACCAAACAAAATCGATGAATTACGTGAACTTAGCAATACTAATAAGGCTTATCTGATAGGAATAACGGAAACTTGGATATCTTCTCAGTTCCCGGACCAGGAGTTAGCAGTACCTGGGATGACTTTGTTCCGCAACGACAGAAAATCAGGAATTGGGGGTGGAGTAGCCGTATACATACGATCTTGCTTGGAGGTAAACCAAGTTCATAACCTCGAGTTTAACAATCTTGAGAAATCCATATGGTGCTCTGTAAGATTGTCTGTTACTTCGAGGTGTCTAGTCGGAGTCATTTACACGAAGCCAACTGCCGATATCGAGTGCGATGGTTGTATGCTGGAAGGGCTATCCCGCTCTACTCGTCTCGGTTTCACACACATCCTGATTCTAGGGGACTTTAATCTCCATAGAGTCAACTTCGCGGATCACACGTATACTGGAGGCGACAACTCAATTGAAGCTCGGTTCTTCAACCTCATCGAGGACTTGGGATTTCACGAAAATGTGAGGTCGGCAACTCGTTGGAGAAACAGTCGGACACCATCACGCTTAGACTGTGTATTCACAAATGAAGAATTCCTAGTTGACAACCTCTCAATCCTGGCTCCCCTGGGAAAAAGCGATGATGCCGCCATAGCCTTCAGTTTTGTCAGCAAAACTAAGCTAAGGTACCCCACCAATAACTTGCGTTGGAATTTTGAACGGTTGAATGTGCCAGCTCTACACGACTATCTACAACAGGTGGATTGGGATGTTCTCCCTCAACTCGATATGGATGGTCATTGGGACTTCTTACTGCACACGCTCTTACGTGCTACAAACCATTCAGTTCCTCAAACGATTCACAAAAGCTGCGAGCCACCTACAATAATCGAGAACCGTACCCTTGCCTGCTAAGTCGCAAAAGGTACTGCTGGGCAGAATACAAACGAACTGACAACGACGGAGCGTACAGGCAATATAAACATATAAGGAACATATGCACGAAGGCTATAAGAGAAGACAGGCTTCAGTACCAGACAAAGCTTAGGGACAAATTTGTCTCTAATCCTAAAAGCTTATTCCGTCATGCAGCCTCTCTTCGTCAAGCCAAAACAGGAGTTTCTCAACTGCTAAGTCTTAACGGCCCGACCAACAACGATGGCGATGCCGCTGACCTTCTGGCTAAACATTGCTCTCAGACATTTCAACCGGCCGATATCACCTTTACTGATAAAAGTTTCATCTGCGATTCCATAGGACTTTCTGAAGTGAACCTAAGCGCTGACTTGGTGTTCCGGAACTTTCAGCACTTAAGAATAGACACACCTCCTGGCCCGGATATGGTCCACTCAACCATACTGAGGGAAGCAGGCTCAATCCTGGAAATGCCCCTTAGAGTGATGTCCTCACATACGCTAAGCCGAGGTAAATTACCGAAAAAAATTGGAAGATGGCCCACATAACATCAATTTTCAATGGAGGTCGAAGCAATAAACCTTCAACTTATAGGTCGGTAGCTCTTCTATCAATACCTTCAAAAGTCCCTGATATGCGATGGTATAAATGACTATTTACTGTCCTTAAAATTCTCCTCATCCTAACAGCATGGTTTCAGGAAGGGTCACTCTTGTATAGATGACCTGCTGACTGCGGTGGACAAATGTACAAGCATCCTCGGTCACAAGGGGAAGGTTGATATCATCTACCCAGTTTTCTCAAAAGCTTTTGATAAGGTTAACCATACATGTCTTATCAATAAGCTCAAACGATCGGGTATCAGACCATCTCTAATCGATTGGCTCACTTCATATCTGAAAAATCAACATTTTAAGGTCAGGGTTAATTTCACTTTATCTCAGGCTATGGAATGTCCTAGTGGGGTCTCCCAGGGCTCAGTACTAGAACCTTTTCCCTTCTTGATCTACATACATGATCTACCTCAACAGGCAACGTCAAAATTATTACTCTTTGCCGATGATGTTAAACTTTAGAGATAGATACGCAATCAAGACGATATACAGGCACTTCAGGTGGATCTGACTCGACTTCAAAGTTGAGCAGACGATAACGGACTTTAACACTTCGAAGTGTAAAGTAGTCCATCTGCGACATGTCACAGACTACAGTGATAACTTAGGAAACTCCTCTCTAGTAGTATCCCAAGTCGATAAGATTTAGGAGTCCTGGTGCCCTACGATTTAGAGTCTTATGCTAACTGTGACAAAAATGCCTTCCGAGCAAACCTTGCACTGGTAACATTGAAGTGCATTTTTGGACAGTTTGACGGAAGAACTTTCCATATAATCAATAGTTTTATCCGTCCCCATTTGGAGTACGGAGACCTAGTATTTCCTCCCTCACTCCAAAAGGATAAGGACACCCTGGAGCGTATCCAACGTCGAGCCACGAAATCAGTTCGAGGATTCAAATTTAAACCTTATGAAAAGTGTCTCCAATCACTTAACCTTTACCCGTTAGAGCATAGGCGTCTTAGAGATGACCTTCTGATGGCTTACAGTATCCTTAACACTTCTGGACATCCTCTTAAACACCTACTTAAGCTTAGTTCGAACACTAACCTAAGGGGTAACACCCAGAAACTGGAAACACAACATAGCAAGACGGAATGTAGACACAACTTCTACTCCTTAAGAGTTTTCAAAAGCTGGAATTCGCTGCCGGCCGAGCTAGTCCAAGTGACTTCCCAGGAGTCCTTTAGGAGGCAACTTGACCTATTATTAAGGACCAAGGACAGCATCATACTATGATTTACCAATTTCTTTTTCCTCTTTTATTGTTAACATACCTAGGTTCCTGCCTGGAGGATTTGGTGATCCACTGCTACTAGACTCGGAAGCCTGTTAAGCGGAAGCTTCTTCTATTCCGTCCACAACCACTTGAACCTTCATCGACGGGCAATGCCACTGTGTAATTTAGGCGGGACTATAATTTCTGAACAAAACAATTGGATTTAGGTAAGTCTTTGATTTTAGCACGAAATCCATTCATTTGTGCGTATAAATAGCATTCTGGCATCATAGCTGACGTCAGTTCGTGATGAAAACCCTCCCCTACATTTGGGGAAATTACCAACTTACCCATTGGTGGGGGTTTTCCTCAGAATTGGGAGCCTGGTCTAACTCCTATCCCTAACTTTAGTATCCAACTCTAAAACGCTAATCTAATTCCCCACATAAATTTAGAACCATCTGTTTTGTCCCTAGTAGAAAAGTAGATTTTTGGAAAATCCGTTTGGCATCTCTCATAAACCATCCACAATTATGGGTGATTTAAATAATCGTTAACGATAATTATTGATAGCTTATAACTTGTAGCGTGTTAACTACTGAGTAAGAACCTTTCATTATATAATGAAATAAAACAAATAAAAATGAGATTTGTTTAGAATTTTGACATAATTCATTGACTTTTCATCTTACCAATTTTTTAAGTCTCAAGACGAGAAAAACAAACTTAGGTATTCATTTATATACCTACAATATGTTCTTCGTTCGGTCTTAACTGTTAAACATAGCCTACTACAGTTTCCTACAACTAATTTTCTAAAATGCTGTCTACCTTCTAAGTGGCTAATATTTAAGTAAAATATGACAAGATCACTTTTATAGTCACTTGACATCGATGGTTCAGTATAGTTCTCTTGGTCATTAAACCCAGAACATCGATTACTTTGACATAAGTCATGAGATCACAACATACACCATTTTGAGTCGAGTATTATAAAATATGACAAAAATAGTGTGCTTTTGTATATCTTTCATTGTTTAACCCTTGGTTATATCTGGATTAAATTTACATAAACTGTGTGTATAAGATAAGCCTTTGCAACCTTTCTCCTGTGAAATTACTTAATAACAACAGACATCATAGCCTTCATTTCGATTCACCGTTTAGGTTTTCATTTCCGTTTCATTTATTTCTTCAATATCTTTGGCATATTGTACAACTGTTTGTTCGACCGTGTTTTCCCTGCATTAGCCTCAACGTAACCCTTCCACTTTACGAAAGTAGATACGTACGTATATAACGTTACTCAAGGAACAAGACCTAGATATACTAAAACCAGATTAACTGAATCGAAACACTAATTTATGGGTTTTGTTTATCCTAATGATTGGTCAGGTTTTGAGGCAACTTTGATTTAATTGCACGACTAGGATCAAAATGTTACAACTGACAAGTGTAAGTAATTAATTTTGTAGTTTCTAGGTCAGCTACATATTCCTGTTTGTCAGCTCTAATATTTTCTTCACTCACTTGTTTCCTTCTGTATATTCGACCTGTACTCTAGCCGTTTCTGTTCTTGTTTAGCTGTTGTTGTTTTTTGTTTTTCTTGTCTTGAATCCTGTCCGGATTATGAATTAAAAGTCATGCTGTTAACGGGTGCTTCATGAGCCCCGGCACTTGGTGTGTTGAGGTTATTTCCTTTTTCCTTCTCAATTATTGTCCATATGGGTTTCTCTTCGTAGTATATCTTGAAAGATTTGGAAACTATTGCTGAAAGCTATTCCTAATTCGCTTGATTTACTGGTATCTCGAAGGACTGTTTAATTAAGTTTTTGCTGAGTAGCTTGTCCGATTGTCCTATGCTTCATTAACTTCGATTTCAGCTTGATCACCACCAAGTGTAAACATGAATTCATATTAGCTCCTCCCTTTTCCGTACGTCTTCCATGGACCTTCCGAATTTTCTATTGATCCAGATGCGATCGATCAGTTTCTCCGTAGCGTGGTCTCGTGAAGCTTTGTGTGTACGTTTTGGAGGGAAAATTGTACATACCATAATCATTTTGTTGAAAGCACATAGACTTACTAGCCTCTCAGCAACCTTGCTCCTTTCTCCCAGTCCATGTCGTCCCATAATATCATATCTGGTGTTGTCCATTTCAACTGGCGTTTTTAGAGCTTCCATCAGGATGGTTTGATCTTTTCCAGGGCAGTTCCCTACAATGAACTGCTCCCTCTTATAAAACTAATTTTATCGTCCTCTTTGTTATCATTGATGAACGCATGTCATAAAATGACATTCATTTTAATCCCTTCGTATGTTTTTAAGGATCCTTTAATGACCTAGAATCCATGAGATTCCTATCTTATAAGTGCTTCTTGTAGTTCTTTGGACAGCATCACTGTAACTCGTTGCGTGTGTTAGCAGTTTTCCTCTCCATGAACAGAATGCAACAGCACCTCTTTCAAAGCTAATATTTTCTGTCCAGCTTGGGTCCAGTCGGCTTCAATTATTCCAAGCACCACCATGGTTGTATCTTATCATTTTCGCCGCTATTTGAATGGCCCTTGCGGTCTCTCACATTGTGCGGACAACCTGTGCGTCTATTTTTTATTCGTTGCTTTAATTATTAAAAGGGACATCAGCCTCGTGACTTCCGAAAAATCTCGGCTTTAACCATAAGACGTCATAAATATTCTATATGAAAACCCTCCGACTATCATTGGAGATTTTTAATGGTCTAAATGCTTCTTTTTGTTAGGTGCTTTTTAGTAAGGTTCTCTTCTACGGGGTAGGGTTTGCAACACGGACCAGCAACAGCACTAAAAGGGGTCAATGTGGAATTGATTTGTGTACTTGCTTCTTGATAATCTTCCCCCGTTGTAGTTAAATTGGTCTTCTGCTTACGAAACCATTGTCCTCTCATTCATTACCTTCTTAGTTCATTTAGAATATGACTTAATCAGTGTAAAATTAAACCTTTCAGAATCATTGTTAATCTGGTTTTGTTGTTCATATAAACTTTCATCTGCCTGCGTCTTGTGATCTCAGTTCAGGTCAACGGTTCACTTCAACGATACAGTTATAACACATAACCCTTAAGTCTTTGTTCTAATATTAGTTGTCTTCGTGGTTAACAAAATGTTCTATATTCATATACTTTTTTGTTTTGTTTGAAAATGTATTATTAAGTTTTGTGTGGTAATTTTCAGTCGGCCTGGCAACTTTTTCCTACGTGAAGAAAATATCCTAGTTGAGATTCGTGTTGCTAAGTAGCTGTGTGAGTGGTAGGTATGTGATCAGGTCAGTTGACGTTCAATGAAACGACAAATGGCTGTATAAGAATGATGCATGTTGGCTCGTCACGATTCCTTAAGTGGGTCCCTAAAGACTATAACTCAATAGCCACATATTTCGTCATGGATCAAAATAGAAGCCAGAAACAATCATGTAGTTTCCTGTTTCATTCTTCTCGAACATAAGATCGACATTGTTAACTGAAGAAAATCTGTTTTTGTATGATGTTTATCTTTTGTCAAATGCCAAGTTGTTTATTTATTTTGTAACCCCTCTTCTTTTTTTTCAATACAACTACCCCATCTTGTGTACCACAATCTTTTAGTGTCCTACTGTACAAAAAAGTGTTGTGTTTTGTCAACTTATGGTTGAGGGGTCATGGTGTATTTATGTATTAGATCAATGACACAGTTAACGCCCTTGGCTTTCCATCACTGGACGTTATGTCTGTTTGAACAGGTAAGTGGCAGTAGTACGTTAACTGTGACTGACTCGCATCCAGAAGGATTCCTCAAATCAATGCACAAACACGTATATTTTGCGAAGCGACAAAAACATTGACTAACTTTATATTTAGAAACAATACGTTTCACACTTATTCACACATCAGTAACACCTAAAAATTCATTTCACCTCTAACCTTGGTCGTTAAGTAATATAACGATACATGTCACTACTAAATTATTCCAATCACAACTGATGTTCCTCAAGACAGTTGTATGTATTAATTAGTCCTCGAATGGCAACTAATCTCATTTCTCGTAGAATGGTGAAGAAGCTCTGATTCTCAGTTTTAAACTTCTTTTGATCTACCTCTTTGAATAATTGAATAATATCACTGGTCCTCACACAAAACCATCTCCTTAGACCTAGCATGCAAACTTACATGTCCGATTATAATATCTATACGAAATCTTCCAGCAAATAAACCCAACGGACAACTCAAATACAAACAAAGCTTGTTCACTAACCATAGTTCTGGTTTCAGATACTTTTAATATAAAACAAGAATATGAAATTTTTGCTTTTTGTATTCATTAAACGGATAATACTCTTATTTCTTTTTACACCCAGTATATGACCTTTAATCACGTTAGTCATTTCAATGATGATGGTTTCAACTTGTTTCATAAATAATTGCGTTTACTTCTCTATGAGCTTTAATCAAATTAATAATAGTAATTATCTTCTCAATTTCTTTCCAATAATATCTAACGAACTTAGATATGCCTTATAGATTAATCATTGATAAGCCATTGTAGCTCATTTATTCTTAAACTCGTTTCCGACGTTCATCAGATATAAAGGTTAAGAAAACTTAGACAAGATTTGGTAATCTAATGAACAATAATCTAATAGTGTGTGTACAGAGTAAATGTACATATATACAGGGAAATGGATTAGTCAACGATTAGATTAAGCAGCTAATAATGAAGTTGGCAGAATGAATATATGCGTAGGGTGTAAACATGTTCATTCACATATATTTCATACACGTACAATAATAATAAGAGTACAACAAGTTGTTATAGTATGGATGACTTTGTCCACTGAATAAGTTAACAAAAACGGCTTAACTGAGGTAAATGAGAATCAACTCAATTGTATGTGAGTCGCTATAAATATAATAAGATAATTACTATTATTAATGTGATTAAAGCTCATAGAGAAGTAAACGCAATTATTTGTGAAACAACTTGAAGCCGTCATCATTGAAATGACTAACGTGATTAAAGGTCATATACTGGGTGTAAAAAGAAATAAGAGTATTATCCGTTTAATGAATACAAAAAGCAAAAATTTCATATTCTTGTTTTATGTTAAAAGTACCTGAAACCAGAACTAAGCGTACGTATGAAGCACGTCTGATCGTCAACTATGCCTTCATTGTTACTCATCACTACTGATTATATCACCGTATTCATTTACACACCTATATAACTATTAATTACTGTACAATCACATTGTAGCATTTGAAAATTCTCAAAAAATATTCAAAAATGAAAAATAATTTAGCGAGCAATAGTTTTCAATAACTTCATCATCTCACTATACCGTTATAAGTTCATAATTTTAATATTTTATAAAGGCCAGAAATAAGGCATAGCCTTAATGAACTTGACAATGTAATGTGCTAACAATGGTGAACGTTTGCATCTGTTACGACATATATATATATATATATATATATATATATATATATATACTTACAAATTGTAATATTTGCAAATTAGAAAGGTCATTCAATAAAGGTCTGGATGATTTGAAGTAAATTGTTCAGTCACGATAAATGGAAGAGCATTATCGGAAAATTGAAAATGTAAAATTTTTTGTTTCAATGAAATGTTTAGTATGAGAATTGAATTTTGTCAATTGAGATAATAATAATAATAATGATCATAAGGACAATAAATAATAGTAACATTTTATATGTTATTTTATGCAGTTGACCTTATTCATATTTACACGTTTAATGTCGATAGATATTTGTTGAGTCAGTCAGACGACGTAGGCTTGTTCATTTACACTTCATGAAACTGATATTTCAAATGCTTGTCAAAAATAGTTACATTCATAATGTCTAGATACTTCAGGTTTCATATTACGGTTAACAATATTCACACATGACTAATTAAACACACTAGTGTTTATTACGACCAAAAAATTAATTTTAAAATACAGAACTACAAATAATTTACAAGTGAAAACAATAAACCGTTGCAATGCTCTTTTAAAATTAACTGAATTGAAATCTGACGTTTTCTAATTCTCATTATGAATGACCATTTACAAAATAAACGTTTACTATATATTAAGTGCCTATTTCGGAAAATTTATTACTACTTTCATATACTGTCAAGGTCAGTTCATTAAATAATGGTCTACGGTCGGTTCACCTGAATTATACATATTGCAACCAGCAATTTATCATGATGAATTATTGATATGTTGATTTGTTTCTCCGATTAACAGACCATGTGTTACTAAAAAATTTATGTACACACTTCGGTATTAATTTGTTTGTTAATTGGGTATTCAGCATTAGACAACCGACCGAATTCAGTAATAACTTTTATCAAATATTCAAACCGATTTTCAGTTCTTTTTTCCCTAAACTTTCTTTTGATGTGATACATATAAGTATTCGTGGGAACATAACTAACAACTTCAATTGAAGGTTGACATTAAATCAAAAATTTATCCTAATACACATTCACTAACGGTAGGATTGCACTTAAGTTGGTGTTTTTCCTTCAAAAGTCTAAATCTTTTTCAAGACTAACATTACACAAAAAGAATTATTCATTATCATTTCAAATGTAATAATCTAGATTCTGACATCCAATCACAGCACTTGATGCGATTTCGATTTCGACTAATCAGATTACAATGATGAACAGTTTACGACCAATAACAAAATTATTAAAGGTGACAAAATTTTTGTCCATTATCACTTAAGTACACACTCGCAAAACAAGTACACCAATCACCGATCAATAAATTTTTTTCACACACTACAATTTCTAAGAAACGGGTGGTAGGGAATCTTAATTGCCGTGGGCTTAATGTCAACCTAAATGTTCTTAACAAGTATATGTGTGATCAGATTGTTCGAAATGTATTGCGCAAATATATCACATAATTCTGATAAACTACGTCTTCTCATTGCATTATCGAAATTTATCAAAGGGACTAATTGTTTTAAATTTCAATATATATATGTTAAAATAAATAAATAATTTTAAATACTATAGAGTAATCTCATAGTGATACTAGGAGAATTGGTCTACTAAAATACTCAGTCAACTGGACATTATATTCTTCTGTTTTACGGGCTTACAGTTTATCAATACGCCGAGAGATTTAATCGAAACTGAAGTGTCAGTGACTATTAGTATAACCAGGATAACTTTGTGACCTTTACGATAAATACTTGTCATTTTGTTGTTTATACTGAATTTTTTTTATGTGGATGGAATAATTTCGTGTTTATTATTCCTATTCACACTACACAATGTGATATGTTCCTTCTGTACCGAAACTTGTTAACACAGTATGTTTATATTATAATATAATATAACACTTAATCCTTTGTGTTTCCAGTATATTTGTCAAGATCGAGGTTTGATTTGGTTTGAGTAGGAGAAGCTTGTTGTATTTCCGTGAGCAAACCACCACACTACTTAAATGCCATAGTTATTCTGTTTATTCGACTCTCCGCTATCCCTAAAAATGTGGTGAGCAAACAATATTAACGATTCCTTCCTACCCTATCAGCTACTATTATTCTACACATTAGCTATATTCATTTAAATCACCAGTAAACTTTTACTTATATGTTGTCAATAAAGTTTAGCCTGCTATAATAATGAAATGCCCTGAGAGTACAACGGTTTGTAAATATTTGTTTTCCTTAGACATCCAATTAAAAAGTTGCCGTACTCGAAAATATCAAAGTAACAAAAGTTTCACGATTGTTATCATGTATTTAACCGCTAGTTAAGATGTTTATTTACAAGCGCCATGGTACGGCCAAGAGTGAGGAGAGTCCGCCCTCCCTCTCGAAATGCTCTCATACGGCCACGCGTATACAGCCTCTGCCAGGGAAGTCCTACTCATGGCCTTCTGGTGGTGGGGGTGTTTACGAACTCGAGAGGACGAGAAGCGAGTGTCCGGCGCTTTGACCTGGTTGGTGGATATGGAGGATCCACTTAGGGGAGCTGTAAAACTTTGATTCCAAACCAATGGTGCACATGGGCTCCGGGATCCTGAGGAGACAAATCGCTTATGAACCAATTGTTCACTGGCTACCATGGGACTGCATCTCCTTACGTTGGTCTACTGCCTTGTGGATCAGACCTTTAGGTCAAAAGCTCAGAGAGTGGCCCACTAAGTAAACCACCTGTTTCGGTTTTGACACCCGGGCAGTATCACACCCCTCACATAATTAAAATGAAATGACAATAACTATTAGGTAAACTACTCGCACTCCTATTAAAATTCAAATAACCCATACCCATTTGAAAACATTCACTTTTATTTTTTGTACCACGTCACTTGTCCACCCTCTTCCATTCTCAACTTGTGTGGCGCACATATATCTGGTGCCCCCTTGTACCATTATTTGTGTTCAAATAAATAAATAAGGGAACACTATAATAACATCCTACAAATGATATAACTAAAACTTTCCGGTCTTCATATTGTACATATTAACTTTGAACAAATTCGTTAAAAAAAGTTTCCAATTATCAACACTCAAATTACACATCATTGTAAAATATAAACAATAAATCTATTTCCAATGAATTAATTGTATAATAATCCGGTTTATGTATGTTTAGAAGTAGGGTGGTATGTTTTTCACATTTATACTTTTAAAGTAATTCAATACTTTTTTTAATTAAACTTTCTAATATTTCTTCTTATTTACTTTAGACTTCATTCGTTTCTTGCTCACAATATCTACACATATATGTGTAGATATACACAGAATGAATCAATCCAATAATAATGAATACGATGAGTTGACAAAACGTATAGGTTTTACATCAATGATGGAACTTATCTGTATTTGTTTATTTCCATTAATATTACAATGTTTACGATCACTGGTATGTATACATTTTAATATATTATCGAAAAATCGATTTTATTTATCTTTGATTATTGATTATTTCATTATTCTATTACCAATTATTTTATTATTAACTTTATTATCTTCTTATATTATTATAATTGTAATAAGTTGTATTGTCATATTTCTATTATGGTTATTATTACCAAACTATAATCAAATGAATTCTTTTGGAAATTTCCATTTTTTTCCAACGGATATTTTAATTGCCTATTTACGAACCACCATATATATACTTTCTTGTATTATGATTTATGCTATTGACTTACCAATCTGTCCAAGACGTTTTGCTAAATCTGAGTTAAATGGTGTTGGTTTAATGGATGTTGGTACAGGTTTATTTATATGTGCATCTAGTATATCCGGTTCTAAATTAGTTTGGTATATGAATATTTACAGAGGTAATAGTAAAAGGTTTTTAGATTGTACATTGAATTCTGTAGTACCATGTTTAGTTTTAGGATTATTACGAACATTATTAATTCAAATGTCAAATTATCATCAGAATATTGTAGAATATGGTGTCCATTGGAACTTTTTTTATACTATTGCATTGATACGTGCCATATCACTCGTTATGACCACTGAAAATCCTATCAGTAGTTATTTGATAACATTTTCACTGAAAAAACAAATTCTGTTCTATTACGTTGTATCTTCTATATTCTTAATATTCTCTGAATTTTTGCCAATAATAATTTGTCCACAGTATTTTCAAAGAAGATGGCAGTTTAATCCAAGAACACTACACTATATCAATGATAATCGATCAAAATCTTTATGGATTGCTAATTTTGAAGGTGTCACCTCCTTATTTGGTTATGCATCAATTTACTTCTTCAATTTGAGTTCATCACTTATATTTCGATCTTATTTGTCAACAGACACTAATAATGACAGTAATAATGGAGTAAGTTCATTGAACAAGAAGGAATTTCCGCGTAATATTCCGTTATTCAGATTACATTTAATCTGTGCTTTCATGATCCTATGCTCAATAAGTTGTTTCCACTCACTAGGTGGTAGTCAAATGACATCCAGACGTTTTGGAAATTCTAGCTATGTATTACTCATTATATTTCTCTCAGCCATCTGCTTTCTTTTTCTCTCTTCGATGATTTCATTACTGATACACTTTAAATCACTTTTCAATCTAAATTTAAGCTATTCTCCATTATCCTTGATAATTAATGATAAAGGCTTGTTATATTTCATCATTTCGAATTTATTGACTGGTTTCTTCAATGTGTTTTGTTTGAATACTCTACATTTGTTGCCTGAACGGGCAAAGTTAAATGTTATCACGGGTACGTATGATGAATTGAGTTGGGCTTCGTCATTGTTACAATTTTTAGTGCTCTTAACCTATTCGAGTTTATCAGTTATTTTTGTTTTAATTGGTTCCTATTACGATTGTCTTAAATTTCTTACTTCTAGTGTGTTTGGTATTTTTAAATAAATGATTGGTGTGAATCAACGGTTCTTCTAAACACATTCCTTAAGTAATCGACGGCTATACCTAAAAACTTCTGCACACAAGTTTGCATTCGATTTTAGGCAATTTATAGACACTTTTAGGTTGACCTAATTTATTTTCGACTGACATTCATACTTAGACCTGTTCAGTTATTGCATCTATAAGTTGTTGATGGTTTTCCTGATGCCTCTTTTTCAGAAACCAATCATGTTATGAATGAAGACAGAAGTGCCTATCAACGACATTGGTCTAGATTAAATGAAAACTTCTTTAGGCTTAATAGAACATTAGTTATAATATTTCGTTTTCTCAACCGGATTGTAAGATGATTGACTTTAAGCCATAAGATGCTATAGACTCAGGAATGATAATCAACTGCTTACTAACCATGAATATGCCTAATTAGGTGGATCAAATGGTATTTATAGACTAGTCAAAACTGTGTAGCACAGTTTTAATTGTTCTCCAGAAGGTGTAACTAGCACAATTCACTTACTTTACTGGGTGTCTATCGTCATACAAATTAACACAGTATTTTCTTCATGCTCAGATCTTTAGAGTAAACGTTAATTTCTTCTAGATACATTTCGTAATAGGTGTCAAATGTGCATGTAACTTGAGTCAAATAAAATTGCGATAGATTGTCTACAACTAATTCCCACTTAATAGTTGGTATATTGTATTTTTGGTATTTATCAAAATAAGGTTATGGTTTCCATTACGAACTGAAATCAGCTATAATGCAAGGATCTTAAATTGTATCCTAAGTCATAGTATATTGAACCATTGACCCACCCTTCCCGTCTCTTGATTAACTAGAGCGATTAAGATCCCAGCATGGTTCGGTGATGTTCATCTTTACCACTTTGTACAATATAAAGATGCTAATTGCACCACGTTATTCCATTTTACTGATAGCAAAACGAAGATAATGTTAGGAGCTAATATAATTAGGTAGTGCATTCAGTCATAAACAACATGGGACAAGTTTGCAGTAAACTAAACTCTGATAATATCACCACATTGGCGGGGGGCTGTCTTATAGTTCATATAATTTTACCAGTGATATCAAGAACTATATGTAGATAACATAGCAATAAAAAGACGAATGTAGTGTAATAATAAGATTTGAAGTAATGAGAGATTTTAGAACCTCTAGGTTCTCTAACACAACCGAGTAGACTGGGATGCGTTACGTATAACTTCCCCATATCCTAATGTAGATTTTGCTGCTCGGTTTACTCACGAGGAGAATTTTTAAGAATAGGTTTTTATCAAGTCGGATGATTTTATTTACTGTTGAAGTGATTTCCATCACGAGATGATATTGGTCCGGGGGCTAGACAATCAAATGGGAATCGTGCGTACCATAGGTTTACTAAAGTTTAAAATATGAACCCCTGGATCTCGACTCTGGACTGAAGGTGTTGTCAAACTTCACCAATAAACTTACTGATCTTCATTTTGATATCATATAAAGCTTGTGAGTGTTTACTGCTTAGTCAGAAAATATAATGTAATGGTCTTCCGGTGTTCCCTAAGCTTTTATTAGTATTACAACTGATCTCATTTCGTTGTTCAATATCATCTACAGAAGTGGGTTGATTTGACGTTGCTTTCTTCACCTGATAAAACGTGAACATTTAATTATTAACTAGTGGTTTCCGTAATATTTGTACTGCTCTTTCCAAAACTGACTTTTCATAGCTAACAAAATCAATGGAAGAGCATTTCTTCCAAGTTTAGTTTCATGAGAAGATTAAATTATCGGGTAGTTTTTATCATTAGTGAAGTGAATAAATGAATCCCTTACATTCAGAGTTAGGGGCAGTTAAGCTTTGTAGTTGTATAATTCGTCCCAACAACTAAGATATAAGCTCGAAAACAAAATATGGGATTCGCTCAACATAAGTTTAGTGAAATAAATTAAACTTCTCAGATTGATATCATGAGTCAGTTGGAGCTAGACCACCATGAAAAACCTAGACGGCCGTTTCGTCCTAGTATGGGACTCCTCAGCAGTGTTCGACCACGGTGCCGCACCCCGCGGGATTCGAACCCAGGACCTACTGGTTTTGCGCGCCAGCATTTAACCATTAGACCACTGAGCCGGCATACAACGGTGTTAATGTCTAACTTCAACCAATCCACGAAGTTGCGCCACCGTACACCATTGTCTTCAGTGAGTTCCTATCTCACAACAGACCTGGTTGAACTCCACTGGTAACGGCTTACCACTAGAACTCCAGGAGTATCTCTTGAAGTCAGTCACTAGTGAGCAGATGATTATTATCTGAAGGGGTTTGTGGAGATTTTAGAAATTTCACAGATTGAAATCATGAGTCAGTTGAAGCTAGAACTTCATGGAGAACCTGGAAGCACTGGACGGCTCACTGAAGACAATGGTATGCGGTGGCGCAACTTCGTGGATTAGTTGAAGTTAGACATTAACACCGTTGGGTGCCGGCTCGGTGGTCTAATGGTTAAATGCTGGCGCGCAAAACCAGTAGGTCCTGGGTTCGAATCCCGCGGGGTGCGGTATCGTGGTCGAACACTGCTGAGGAGTCCCATACTAGGACGAAACGGCCGTCCAGGTTTTGCATGGTGGTCTAGCTTCAATTGACTTAAGGTTTCAATCTGTGAAATTTCTAAAATCTCCACAAACCCCTTCTGAAAATAAAATAAACGTCTAAAATTCAAAAACCTCGGATTGTCCAGTTGCTAGTTTCGTTACTCAGAGATAAATATTATTCTGTACAGTATATGAAACGTAGAATTAGTTAAATATAGCTTACACTACTGGTTCAGTGAGTACCGCGACAAAAAATAAGCAAATGTAAATTGTCTATAAATAACACGGTATGTTAGGTGAAACAGTTTATTAGGATATTTAAAGTAATTATTCAACCGAGTGTTCGTTTGTTTTACAGTTTGTAAAATATGTGAGACATTCTGAAGCATCAATTTAAAAAGAAATTTAAGCTGATTTGAAACAGTAAATTTATTTAAAAGGGCAAATGGTTTAAGATTATGTTGGTAGATTATTGAGTAAGATGTGGCGATTGTGACAGTGGTGGGAAATAACTCAAGTAAATAGTTTGGCAAACATTCAGTATTAACGCTGATCTTTTTAATTTTAATGGACACTACAGGCTGAAGGCGCTTTGTCAAGCATCATCACTAAGTCACGCCACGACGCTATATGGGATGCTTATCGTCATCAATTTAGTCAGTTTGGAAGTCACACGTTTCTCTGTCAATCCTTGCGATCAGATGCCTTTTTCCTTTTAACAACCACTGATTTCTTTTTCCATCGATGGCTATAAATAGTGGATCAAGCTTTGTCAAACTTTTTCACAGCGAATATGGTGGAAAAGGCTTTTTTTCTATCTGACCGTAGTTCCTTTCTGTCGTAATCAGCTATCATACAGCTTGGGTGATTGCCTTCTCAGATCCGTCAGGATAATTATGGGAAATCATTGCTCCGATTCCGTAATTTGACGCATTTGCTGCGACCGAAATTCGATCTGGATTATAGTGTTTAAGCAGAAAGTTTGGTGATAGGAGCTGTTTTAGGAATGTTTCTTGACATTCTGTTGAACAGACCCATTTGTTATACTTTTTCAGCAACCAATTCAGAGTGGCACGGAGGCGATGCAAATCTTGAAGAAAAACACCATAATACTTAACCATTCCCAAGAAAGATCGTAAAGTTTATACATCTGTCGGAGGAGGCATGGTTTTGACAGCCTCAGTGTTTTCTGGATCAAGTTTTCTACCGTTTTTGTCGATTATGAATCCCAAATAGCGGACTTTCTCCACGTGGAAATCACGTTTTTCGGCGAGTAATCCGAAACCACAATTTGCTACGCATCTGAGAACCATATCCACCTTCTTTTCTAAGTCACCATAGCTCGTACCTATGATTAGTATATCATCGAGATAAGCCGCAGTAACAGGAATAACTTGCAGTATAGTGTTCATAGCTTGTTGGAAGACTGAAGGAACGATTCTTACTCCGAAAGGGAATCGGTTACACTGGAATAAACCTTTATACATGTTTACTGCCAGGTAAGGTTTGTACTCTTCGGCTACTGGAATCTGTAGATAAGCTTCTGATAGATCCAGTTTTGCAAAATACTTCCTCTTATTCAGTTTCGCAAATAAGTTCTGGTAACGGCAAACAGTACTGACGAGCTTCAAGTGCTTCGTTTAATGCAGTCAAATAATCTGCACATAGCCGGATACTTCCACTAGGCTTCTTAATCATTGGTGCTGTCCAATCAGAAACATTCACTGGTTCTATTAATCCACATCTTTGCAGACGCTCTAATTCTCGTTCAAGAATCGGTAGCGCTGCATAGGGTGCCGGACGTCTTGGTCTAAATACGGAGGCGACTCCCGGTTTAAGAATTAGTGGTGCTTTTACCTTTTTGCGCCCCCCCATTTCTTCCATAAACACTTGACTCTGTCTTTCCGACACAACATCCTTGAGATTCTTTTCGCTGGTTTACTGGTTCTCACGGAGCCGCATATGTGGTTAATGGAGTGATTTGCTAATTGTAGTGTTTCTGTTAGGTCTAGACCCAGCAAATCTAGTCCCAGATTCTCTGTGAGATTTAGTGTTGCATTTATTTTTGCATTTCCTTTTGAAACTGTACAGCATACCTCTCCAACAATATTAAATTTCGCTCCGAATGCACTATCAGTTAACTGGGTTGTTGGCAGCATCTGGGGTTTCCTAATATGTTTCCAGGTTTTTCGGCTAATAACTGTGGTGTCGAGATGCAGGTGGGCACGGTGACCGTCAACCTCGATAGTTGCATATTTTCGTCGACTATGGCTTGATCGCGTATGTACTACCACTCTAAAGAGCTTCAACATTTCCTTGAACTCCCGCCCACCAATGAGGCACTTTCTTACGGATCGCCTAGTATCTAGACAGAACAAGAATATAACAAGCCCGACTGTTATTAATATGAATATAACCAAATCACAGA